TATGATTGTTGGGTTTTTTTCTGCATGTATTATTGCAGGGTCTGCCTTACAATATAAAGCGCCTTGAGGCGAGCATTGTTGTGATTTGGTGCTGTATACATTGAATTGAATCCCACAGTTGCCAAGTACTTGCCCGTAAGGGGCCATGACATTGTTGCAGTTCTCCACCTAAAGTTTTCATCTTAAAATATAAAACACCTTGAGACGACTGTTATTGTGAGCTGTTGCTGCAACAGCACGAAGCACAAAATTCTGCAGGTTGAGGTGAGAGGCAGACCTCCGCCTGGGTTGGATTGTTATTTATTTATTTATGTTATTGTTATTTCAGTGTATTTGGCTCCATCCACAGTTATGAAACTGTCCTCAGCTTCAACTGGCATTTTCATGAATGCATATATTTTGCAAAATATGTCAATAATCAAGTTGTGCTTTTAGAACCTCCCTGTTGTAAATAATGCAGAAAGACAAACTGATGAATACTGGTGATGAAAACATTTTATTTACATTAATGCTGAATATTACTGTCATGTATGAACTATGTGACTTCAGCTCTGTAATATATACCTGGTGTTAGTGTGGAGCACCAGTGTGTTGACAGGGATGAACATGAACCTGTGTTCACTGACCTGACAAGCCTCCCACGTTCTCCCAGCTCAGTCTGGTCAGGAAGATGTTGTCCAAGCGAGCAGCTTTCAGCCTGCCACAGGAAAACACGATGATCATGTTCATGCTGTTTTTTAAACCACCAGACAGACTGAAATCTTAACGCTGCTGTGGCATCACCAGCTTACTTGTGTTCCTGCATGAGCCTCTGCGTTCCTTCACCACAGTTGAACAGGTACCTGCAGCGGAGAGAGGTTTGTTTTGCATAGGTGTATTTCAGAAAGCGTTGAGCGAGCTGCGATCAGAACCTCTGAATTACACCAGGCGATTGGTCTCAGGATTTTAAGGGAAAAAGATTATTATCATGATCATTCCTGTTGCTGCATTATGCTCCACAGATTGTGTCAAAGTTCCTATTTTTTGTTTTATGCCAAATAGGGCTGCCACAAACGATTATTTTGATAGTCGACTAATCAGATCATCATCCATTGGACATAAAAC